ATTCTACAATTTTGAAATCCCAGTCTATCCCTTAACATTTCTATTTCTTTTAATTTTGTTTCTTCTTATTTTTGTTGTTGTCGTCCCCTTCCCCCACTTCTTTTTCTCTTTTATGTATCTGGGACCATAGATAATTCTCTTAGTCCTCTACATAACATTTTACTTAATATTAAACAAATGCTTTTCATGGTCATCCAATATACATCTTTCTTAAATATCTTCTGTCAATTATTTCTTATTAGTAAAGTAATACATTTTGTTGTAAAAAATGTGAAACACATTGGGGAAAAAACACTTGTAATTCCGCCACCCTTATTATATTATTTAATAATCTTTTTAGTATGAATTTTTACTTGGTAATTTTATATTCTTTTTTTCAATTAAAATTGTATGGTAAACAGTTTCCTAGGCCATAAAGAATGATTTTGTAAATATCATATTAAGAACTCAACTAAAATCTCATTAATGATATTCTCTCATGGTTTGACATCTGTAGGGTTTCCACATGTGTTGGCTCTTGTGGAGTTGGAATAAACACTATAGGGCATTCCATTTTTAGGGTTTTACCTCCCTGTGTTGTGTATAAGATTTTGCATGTCTGCTGATCTCAGAAATGTGCTGAGAAAGTCAGAGGATATGGACAATTTAAGGCTTGCCAATTTGCTGTCCAAAAATCAGGATACCTCTTTATACGCCCACTAGAATTGCTGACTTTGCTTTGGGAAGCTTAGCAGTGTTTAAGAATAGGCAAGTCCCGAGTTTCTAGCTTTTTGTTTACTAGTTATTGCTCCATCTGTCTAGTTACATCTTTCTCAAAAAAAAATGTTTGCCTTGGCTGGTGGTGGAGGTAATGGATTTTCAGACATTATGGTTATGGAGACTTCTGTATCAAGGGTTTTAGTCTTGTCACATTGGATTCTCTAGTTCTAATTGCCCAAAGTCAATATTAGATTTTTCAGGGTCCTGGTTCTTTCATGTAAATCCATTTCTAGCCAAGTCACATCCCATGGTTGAAGAAGGCACTTTTCCGTGGAAAGAGAACTGTGAGAAATAAAAGACTTCCTATGAATTATTCCTCTGTGTTCAGATTTGGGAGCCTCATGGTCATCCTCTCAGAAATCTTAATAACCATCAGAGGATCAAAGAAGCCAGTGTCCCTGGAAGCCAGTGACTTACAGCTGATTATAGTAGTTCTTTGTTCAGAAAAGCAAGGAGGAATGTTTTCCTTTAGCAACGTGGGAAACATTTGGTCCTCTTTACCTAAAATGCATAATGCGGCCATAGAAGATTGGTGGCTGCTTGTAATAAAATCACATAAGAGAACAGCTCATTTAAGAAACAAAGTTAGGGAAATGGATCAGAAACTAGTACATAGAACTATGAGAAATTTCAAAAGATGAAGGATACTGGACTTTTTTTTCCGGAAACAGCTTCATTCTATTTGGGGGAGAAAAGAACAAGAAAATGTTAAAGAGTAAATGAAAATGTTTAAATGTCAGAAGGCAACATGTGAATTAAATGCAAGCAGCCGTGTGGAGCGGTGTGGTTTACAAGTGCTTGGGGGGCACTGGGGGAGGCTGATGCTGCCCTTGACTGAGCCGGGACCCCGACTCAGGAGGGAGGAGGCCGGAGAGAGCGGGGAGGGTGGGCTTTGTCCGGAACTGACCCGAAGGCAGAGGGGCTTCAGCAGGGGCATCATCCCTGCCGCTCTGGGTGCTCCTGGGAGAAGAGCTGCCCCTCAACTGTAAGGAACAGGAAGGCGGGGTGAAGGAGGGGGTGTTCATTTAAAGAGAGAAGCCTTTCACCGAATGGAGAGAAGGGAGCTAAGGAGTAAAGAAGGGGCTGCCATAAATTCACAAGGACAGCCCGACTGCAGCCATGGGTGTAGCTGTGCTAGTGCGCAGGTGGGGGCTCCAGACCCCTCTCCTTTACATCCCCTGCTGCCCCCCAAACACGCACCTCTGCACACATGCACGGGTCACTGGACCAAGGACCCACACAGACCCCGTTCTGCCGTGCCCAAGTCATTCCTGGGTTAATTCAGCAGACGTTCATTGCATGTCTGGTAAGCAAGAGGCCCTCACGCGGGTGCAGCGGGAAATACATAGCCCTGCCTGCGGGACACAGGTCCACACTCGGGTGTATTGCGTGCAAGCGTCTCTCACTCACTGTTGTCTGAAGCTTGGCCACCAGAGCCAGAGGGCGCGGGGGTAGCCAGAGTGGATCACTGCCCGATGGGATCTGATTTGGGGAACATTGAAAGTCCCTCTTTTTCTCCAAAACATCTCTCCCCACTAGCATGATTCTTTCCTTTAGGGTAACTTTTGGGGAACTTTGAGAAGGAGCCTGCAGGAGAAAGGGCTGTAACTTGGAAGTTGATGAGGGAAAACTCCTGAACACCCCAGGACCTCTTAGCAGCTTGTTAGGTTAGGAGCTGTCACCTGGAGAAGCCAAGGTCAAGAGCTGAGGGTGTGGGACATTTGGTAATTATGGAGAGGCAGGCCAGGATGGTGAACCACAGGGGATGATGCCCCAGCATTACCAGATCACTAATAACCTGAAAAGGACAGGAAGGGCAGTGAACACAAAGTTCCCTAAAAAATGTGCGAGAAATGCTAATTATAGTGCTCAGGGAAATGAGACCCCTAATGAAACCCATAAGATTGGATCAGCAGAACCACCTGGGGACAAAGGACATGGGGAACACGAGTGACATCAACCTGCAAAGGAAAAGACTTCCTGTTGTCTCAGGGTCTTGCCGGACTCCTTAGCTTTATTTAGTTAACAATTATTGAGCAACTACTTCCCTGCTGCCAATGCAGGAGGCTAGGAATGCAAAATGCGTATGTTAATGTTTCGTTTAGCTACGGGCAGATCCACTGTTTTCCTCCATCTGGAGACACCACACATGGCTTCTAAGTTTGCTCCATGGGGGAAAAGGAAGGGCTGGAGATTTAAGTGTCCTAGACCAGCTTCCATTCAAATGCCCATTTATCAGCAATCAGTCCCATGGCCCCCTCCTGCCACGAGGGAGGCCAGGGAATTCCGGGAAGCACATAGATATTCAGAAGCATGAATTTCTGTGCCATGAGCCTACATCTTCCTGCAGAATAACTATGCCAACTAGTTAGCACCCCACGAGAATCAGTGGGACCAACACCCACATGGATCGTTAAACGTGGCTCAGATCGTGCTAGTAACCAATGTATGAGAAACTACTGGAATTCATAATTTATTCACTCAGCAGGTGTCTATCAGTGCCTGCTGTGTATCAAGGACACTGTTCTAGGTCCTGGAAATACAGCAGGGGAGAAAAAAAACAGTCCACATTTGTTACACTCACAGAACTGACTTTCTGGTGGAGGAAGATAAAAAAAATTAACAAATAATTAGCAAGTAATCCAGAGCATATTCTTTGGCCATAAATATTATAGAGAAAAATAAAACACATGGGAGAAATAGGGCATGTGTTGGTGTGGAGAGAGGGTAGGGCTGTAATTTTAAATTGATCAGAGAAAGCCTCAATTAGGTGAGGGTAACATGGAAGTGAAAACCTAGGGGTGAGGGAGCCAGTCATCTGGGTATCTTGGCAAAGAGTCTTCCCGGAAGAGGGACGCAGGTGCAGATCCCAAGGTGGGGCAGGGCGTGCCTGGTATGTTTGGTGAGTGACAGGGAAGACGTGGGTGTGTGGTGAAGGCGCAAGACGGGCAGGGACGGCATGAGGAGTCTGCTGAGTGCAGACGGTGTAGAGCCCTCTGTGTTACCTTAAGGTCTGTGGCTTCTGCTCTATGTGATATGAAGCCACCTGGGGGATCCCAGCAGGGGAGTGCCAGGGTCACTCTGGCTGTTGTGTTGGGATTAGACCATAGAGGCTAGGGGAGAAGCAGGGAGACCAGTTAGAGGTTATTCTGATTCAAGAGAGAGAGAAATGATGATGGCTTGGACCATTTCCATCACCCCCAAAAGCTGAGGGGGGAAAATTTTAAAGGGGAAGAAGTGATGCACAAATATAAGATAGTTTTTGCCAGTCAGTTGCTACCGTAGGGCCTCATTGTAATGTCATTTATTATTACCACGAGTCTGGTTTTATTCAGACATTTTAGTCAGACATTTATTCCACACCAACTGCGCACCAAGCCCCCTTATAGGGCCCTGGGGACGGCAAGTAAGATCTGACTTCTACCTTTGGGAAGCTCTCAGTGTGGCAGGATTATAGATCACGGAAAATATAACATCACCAGCACCAAAAACAATGCCAGCTGCGGCAACATGATTATTTTATAAATACGTTGGGAACATTAGCCAAAACGTATTGAGTGTTTACTTTGTGTTAGACATGTGCCTGTGGGTGCTATTATGACTATGATATGCAATTGTTGTAATTATTCTATTTTGATGGTCTCCCTTGTAACCAAACTAGACTGGTACAAAGTTTGTGTAACCTTATATAACAGCTTAAAAATGTTATTTCTGTGCTCTGCAGCCCAGCGTTACCAAGGACTCTGACACCCTAGTGCTGGTCAAAAACCCATTCCAGAAAATGCATGCACCACTTTTTCCAAAATCTCTTCTCCCCTTAATAACATACAAAATCATGTTACTAGTACCTTCATCTCCCTGGTTTGCCAGCCTACATAAGTCTTCTTTATTGCATTGTTCTTTTTTTTTTTTTCCTTTTAATAACCTGCCTTGAAGAAAGTTAAGCTGAAACGTCTGCTCGGCTTCCAAGATGCTGCCGCCCAAATCGCATGCGCTTCTCTGCCTCTGCAGCTGCCTGGCACTGGTTCATCCTTTTGACTGGCAAGACCTAAATCCCATTGCCCAGATTAAATTATCAGGTAAGAGGCAGATTTGTTCCAGGGCTTGAGCTACTGTTGCCAGCCTCCAGGTGGTCCCAGGGAAGTTGCATGCGTGGGCTTCTAAGAAGATGGCAGTGGAGGGCCTCACTCTCTCCTCTTCCTACGAAAACTAGAGCAGTGCCTTCTTCTCCAATGTCAGGACCGCAGGATGGCCCAGGAGGAGGCATTTTCAGACAAGCTGGAAACTCAGGTCCCAGTCACTGAGGAGAAGGTCCTCATCACCCCTTCTCTGCCTCACGGCCCTAACCCCCTCCTGCCCAATACAGTAACACACCTCACTTGGAGTGCCCCCAGAAGCAACCCCAAAACCCACCCCCACAAAGGTGAGGAAGAGGCAAGTGTCTCGATCAGCAGGTGTCGTCCTGTTTGGTGGTGGGAGAGGATGACAACTGAGAATCTGGGATCTAGAGAGAGTCAACCTGTCTGTCTACTGACAGGGAGAAGCAGAGACCAGTAGGCACTGGGAGCTCCAGATGAGAATAGATGTGAATCACTTGCTTTTATTTACCTCGTGGTGGGAGGCAAGGAAAGGAGGAAGGCTTAGACAGGCCCAGGAGTGTTGGCCAGAGTAGGACAGCCATCTCCAGAGGGGGGCATCTGCCATCACCTAGAAGGACCTTGATTTCAAAACGATTACGTCTGGGGCTTCGTGACCTCCTGCTAATGCCAGAGGGTTGTGATGCATGAACGCCTCTATCTGGTCCCCTCAGGGGAGCAGGGCAGGGTGGCCTCTGAAAGGTGCCCTGTTGTCTGTACCCACAGACTCACACACCTGAGTAGATAAGGCTGCTCTGAACCTCGTTGTTCAGGCTGGATGGGTGACTCCTTACTGTGACATTTCCAAAAGATATTTCATAACTCAGTGCCTTATAAATTTTGCCCTGCTTCATAGTTGAGAAAATGAATGCATCAGTGTCGGGGGAAATAAATGAAGAGGAACTTTATCTTATATTCACATCTGCCTAGCAGGTGGCATCATATCTCACAGGTCCATTCATGTAACAACTCTTATCAGGAAGCTGAGGTATGAGTAACACAATGGTGACTAAGACAAAGGGCTTACATTCAAGGAGCTGACAGCCTGATTAAATTCATTTTCCCATTACCTTTTCCATCAATTGGGAACAGGTAATATCTTACATGATGAGCAAATTCTCACCGAGGAGACATTTATATCACTTTCTATTGGTACAGGGTGGGAATTTCAAAACATGTTCTATGTCCCCTTGTGTCTGAAAATCATTGGAAACCTATTGTGGGACAGACAGAAACTGCAAGACACTGCGTTATTCATCTCTTGATATCCAAAAATAAATGCATAAATATTTTTTAAATTAGAAATAGTTTTTCAATAAAAGATGAAAATAATAGATGATTATTTGTATTATTCTTACTAAATGGAGCCATAGAAAATACGGTTATGCAGGTAAAATGTTTATAAGCAAGGCTAGAGATATCCCGTTTGCCAATGGAGGACGTAAAGCCATATAAAAAATGTAATTTTCCTGGCATGTGTACAGTCCATCTCCAACCCCAGGAAGGGTTATCAGACTATCTGATAAATGAATGTCACCAAAAATGTATAATAAGATTAATAACATACCTTAGGTTCTAACGCTCCAATTAAAATAACGCTGGATTAAAGTAGGAAGTGACATAAATTTATAAGTTCTGAACCACAAAACTAAGTCCTCTAGAGAGTGGCCATTCCACCTGGCACGTCTCCTCCCTGCCTCTTCCTTTGTGGTGAGTCCTGACAGATGGTTTGAGGACAGGAAATCCAGAACCATAACCAGATTAGCTGCAGGCTGGTGAACCTTTTCTGCAGCTGCCCTGGCACTAACCAGCCACAGGGACCTGGAGACCTATAACCCCAACCTGGGTCAGCGCCAAGTTTCCCGAGACCATCTCAGGGGTCAGGTGTCTTGGGATGGGCAGACCTGCGGCCTCCCCTTGACCCGGGCTCCTGATTGCTGACGGATGCTTTTTGGCAGAGCAAGTTTTAGAAGACCAGGGCACTCCTTGGGTGATGAGACAAGGTTCCAAGGGCCCAGGTGGAACTGAGATCTCACAAGGGGAGCCTTGTGCACCTTGGAACCTTCCCAAGGCTCTAGAACTGAACTCCCAGCTCCAGAGGTGGCGCCTCCGAGGCGGCTGCGAGTTCTCCGGGGCCCCTCAGCAAGTCAGCGAGCCCGGCCATGGCTGCCCGTGGGCGGGGCCGCCGCAGGGCACGGGCTGCTCCTCCCCGAAGGCCTACCCTGCCGCCCTCTGGGCTCGACGTCTGCCCATTACCTCACGAAGGACCGCTCAGTAGACAGTCTTAAATGGGAGTAAAAAAGCCTTTTGTAATTCTAAATAGACCCTAAAATGTTAGCCTTACAGGTAAAGCTTTCTGAAGAGTTGTTTCTGAGGAAATGCCTTGGGTTTTGGATCTACCCAGAGCAAAATGGCATGGCCTCGTTTAGATCTGCTACAACCCCTTTTAGGGCTTGAGTTTGGGTAGCCAGAGCCAACTAACTCTAGGGAAGGGGCGAACACTACCAGCGGTCTGCCTGTTCCGTGTTCTGTGTGGGCTGCTTGGCTTATATTATCACTTTATCCTTACAAGTATCCTGGGGGCTGGCCAAGTGCTTTACCCCCACTTCGCCAATGAGGATCAGAGAGGGGAGTACATTGCCTAGGCCAGAGCGTCCTAGCTTGTCAGATGGACAGCTGGAATCCAAAATGGGATCACCTGGCTCTAATACCAGGGTCCATTCATCTCAGCCACTGTCTTCCTCGGAACTAGCCCCTGTCACTTGGCCAGGAATTGTTGAACGTGTGTCAGACCAGGTGGGCTGGTACCTTAGCCCAGTACTTCTTATACTTGGATAGGCATGGCTTTTCTGATTCAGTGGAATCCAGGTGAGGCCTAAGAGCCTCCTTTCCAAACTCCCAGGTGATGCAGTGATGCTGGTCCATGGACCAACTTTGAGTAGCAAGGCCTTATGTATGGAAATGCTCATCCCTGGCGGGGGCTTCACACAAGTCATCCACGTGGAGGATGTAATGGGCGTCTTCTCATGACTCAAAACCTTTCTGAGTGATGCCCTATGGTATTGATGTGGGTACCACACCTAACATTGTTCTCAGGGTCTACGTGGCAGAGGCAGAGTGTGGTGGGAAGCACGGGGGACTCCATCTGGCAAAGTCATCACCTCTCACAGTCCAGTGGAGGGAAAAGAGCAGGCGGGCTGAATCGGGAAGAGCCAAAGTCTAGATACACTGACACGTGGTCTCACCATCCTGAGAGCATCCTGGACTTGACTAGGGGTTAGGAAGGAGGAGAACAGGTGAAACTTCGGGTGTGTTGAAGGGATTTGGCACCAAAGAGAGAAGACCTCTCAAGTGTGGGCAGGTGAAAAAATATATGCCACCAAGCATTTGGCAGAAACAAAAGAGACCCAGCGACAGCGAACAACTTGGTTCAGCTCTTTTCATAAATATTTATTGGGCACCGATTATGTGCCAGATGCTAGGATCTGAGGATACAGAGATGTGGATACAGCTCTTATGAAACAGCCTTGTGTGAGGGACAGAGTGTGTAAACACATAATTTTAATATGATAAGAATGATAAAAATATATACAGGGAATTGATTTTTTTTTTTTTTTTAGAATTTAGGCTTTTAAAAAAAATTGAAGTATAGTTGATTTACAATGTTGTTTTAGTTTCGGGTGTACAGCAAAGTGATTCAGTTATATGCACATACATATGTTTTTCAGATTCTTTTCCATTATAAGTTAGTACCAGATACTGATTATACTTCCTCCAGGGAATTGATTTAATACTGAGGATGAAATGATTAAGTCTAGGGGATCAAGGAAGGCTTCTGAGAAGGCCTGACATCCAATCAAGATGTTAAAGGCTGAACAGGAGTTTGCCCTGGGGATTTTAAACACGGGGAATAGCCTTTACTAAGGTGCAGAGGCATCGGAAAAGCCCAGTGTGTCACTGGGGAGCGCTGAACACATGGAAGGGAGATAAAGAGGAAGAGTAGGAGGCGGTGGACCTCCCGGTCATGGAGGGTCTCTTACAGTGCCCGGGAATTTGGGGTTCAGCTTGTGTACCTGGGAACCTCTATGAGTTTCAACCCCAGAACACTGGAAAGATAAGCCACACCATGCTGGAAGACATGTGTAGATTTACATACAGCCTCCAAAACCCCCTTCCAGAAAGATTCCAATATATTCTCTTGTCAAGAAAAAAACACCGGGTGAGAGGAAGGCACAGAAGGATTTTAAGAATTGCCTGCTGAGATTTGTCCTTTAAATCACTGCAGGAGCTGTGTGAAAGACGCATTTGAAGGATGCGTTCAAGGTGAAGAGGACACCCAGGAGAGATGGCAATTGTCTGGTTAGGAGACAGTGAAGGTGTAAATGAGACAGTTGAGCTAGAGGGTTAGGAACATATCGGAGAGAGAATTCTAAGCTAAAAACAAACATTGGAAACTGAAACTTGGATGGCGGGGGTTGGGGAGAAAGAGTTAGGAAAGTAGCATGATTTGCAGGTTTCTGTCTTGGGCGACCCAAGTTAGGGAGTTCTGGGGCTGTGGGCTGTGTGGTTGGGGAATGAAGGAGGGGAGTTAGGAGATGGTCCTTTAGTTTCATTTTGGACCATGGGCTTTGCCGTTCCTTATGGGAAGGATGTCAGATGGAGATATCCAAGGGGAAGTGGCAAGCCCAAATCTGAAATATAAGATCAAGTTCACGTTTAGGCAAAACCGATTTGGGAGGTGGTTTTTCATATGCTCTGGATCAGAGTAGAAGCTAAGGGCAAGGCTGTAAGCATTAGGAGGTGATGATCCTTAGCATCTTGGGTGAAGTTCTACGTCTACATCCACCTTTCCCCCACACGGCCCTTTGCACGCAGCAGGCCCTCAATGATTGTGTGTGTGTTTTATTCGTTAGTGAAGAAATGAAGGAGGCCAGAGACATGATGGGAAGACACTTGATTCCCTTGGAGTTTCTTTGCATAATAAGATCTGGAGTATAATGGATGACAAGTGAGGGACTATTGACCTGTTTTCCAGCCTGGGTCAATAAAATACAAGGTCTGATGGCTGCTGCAAGCTTTGGCCGAACGAAAATCCCCAGAGGAAATGGATCTTATGCCGTTGGTTGTACAGACTTGATGTTTGATTACACAGATAAGGTAATGCTTTGATTCGTACCACTTTTCCTTATATTCTAATATTGACTGTGGCTGTGGCCCACTAGAAGGTTTTGAAACTTGACCTTGCTCTCCCCCTGAGAGGAACTCATTTTGCCTTTTGGGAACCTTTAAAAAAATTTTTTTGTGGGATAACTAGGTTATTTATTTTTTAATGTAGGTACTGGGGATTGAACCCAGGACTTCGTGCATGCTGGGCACGTGCTCTACCACTGAGCTACACCCTCCCCGCTGGGAGCCTTTTGCTAGTTAAATCATTCCCGGTTTGTTGCTGTCATCAGATTAACTTCTGTATAAACTCTCTTTCCCCCCTACCCCTTCTCTAACAACAGAAACCAGGCTGCTCATACTCATTCACTCAGAAAACATATTGTTCTTTTTCTCTTCATTTTGACTATATTTGGGTCCCTACTAATTAGATATGCAAAATAGCTGTTGGATTAGGTTTGAGAAGCCACTTGACTAAAAGTAACCTTAATTTCTTTCCTCTACAGGGCACCTTCTTGCGTTTGTATTACCCATCCCAAGGTGACAATCGCTCTGACACCCTTTGGATCCCAAACAAAGAATATTTTTGGGGTCTCAGTAAATTTCTTGGAACACACTGGATGATGGGCAAAATTTTGAGCTTTTTCTTTGGTAAGATTTCTGTTGCTCTAGAATCTAAGAAAAATACTGGGAAACAGCAAGCGTGGCAGGCAGTTAAAGACCCAGGTAGATGGTCTCCAGTCTAAACGTCTCCTAAGAAGACACACTTGTTTCTTAAAAGGCCAGGTAACTATCTGAGAATCGATGGTTCTCATTTTGTCCATCCTGAATGTGATGGGGTAGGTGGAGGGAGTGGAAGCATCAGACTTTCAGACCGGCTCTAACATCTCTCTGTGGCTGGTCTTACTTTTCCTTCTCACATACTCGGGGAGGGTGGCAACAATATGGTGAACTAGCACCTGGGCTGGCGTGACCACCACCTGTGTACATGCTCTGTGCTAAGGTGCTTTCCACAGTCAGGAAAAAGGGAAGGAAAGCTGAAGCCATCATGACTGTCCAGATCCAAAACAAAGGAGTGAAAGCTGTTTCTTACTCATTATAAACAGGGATCTCAGTCTCCTTCCCATCGCCCACCCCCAGGGGCCAACCTTTCTCCCTAGGACCATCTGATGAGCTTTCATCACTTCATTTGTCTGCATTTCACTGATGCTCATTTGTTCTTCCTTATCTGTCTGACCAGACACTACTGTGGGGCTGGTGTTAACTATGTCTTCGAATTCTCCCTCAAAACTGCCTGTAACCTTCGGCATTCATTTTAAACATCTCCTTGGAATTTTCTTAAGAACCACTTTATGATAGAAATGATGAAAACCCTGTAAGTACACACCGTTATGGTGCTGAGTAATACCTAAGTCACTTCCCCAGCTGTCATCACATTCACTTCCGATGAGCACACCTCCATTTGCCGATGAGAAAGCGAAACACAAATGATGGATGGTAATGATGACAATGACAAGTGGGAAGTGAAGGAAAAGACAGTATCTTCCATTCTTGAGCCCTTTACTAGGTAACTGGATAGGTACCCTTTACACATATTCGTATTTAAATATATTTCTCACAAAACCCCTATGAGGTCAATATCATTTCCTTCATTTTACAGAAGAGGAGTCTGAAGGTCAGAGAGTTCTCTGAACTTGCCCAAGGTCAGAAGCAAGTGAGTGTTAGAGCTGCGTCCAAAGCTACATCTGAGTGTGAAGTCAAAGGTCTTTCCACCTTTCTCTTGACCATGGTCAGGTTAGAATGAGAGGAGTCTCTGATTCAGAGGTTCTGGGTCTCAGTGAAATTAATGTTCCTGAGGTTTACTGGTAGTTTGGTTCAGATTTCCTTTGAAGTTTTGCCAAAATCTGGTATCGGTGATAAGTACCAGCCTTCCTGAATACACCTCTAAGTAGGAAAATGTCCCACCTCAATTTCAGACCTGGCGGTGAGAACTGATAATGGATGACCCTGTGGTCTTAGGAAAAACGCATGGTTCAGGCCCTTGGTTGGTGGATCTCTAGCAGAAGACTTTGTAATGAGTTTACTCTTAATGCACAAACACATAAATTTCATGGGTCAGGATTTTACACTGTGGAGATGCACATTAAATTAACCAGCAACATTCAAGTCAGAGAAAGCACTCATTATAATCTCCCGCTGCTGTCTAGGTTCAATGACAACTCCTGCAGCCTGGAATTCCCCTCTGAGGACTGGTGAAAAATACCCACTAATCATTTTTTCACATGGTCTTGGAGCCTTCAGGTAAAGTTTCACAGGTTAAACAATTTTAGCCTCTAGGGATCAAGGACTGAATACATGTTTTTGTCCCCAAAGAGGGATAGCAGATTTTGGAGTGTCAGGCTGGCCCCTGTCCTGGAGGAGTTGGTGTGCCTCAAGAATTAGCTGCGATCTGTTACTGATTATCAAGCTATTATTTATTGATCAGTCCTAGCCCTGTCTTTTCCTGCTTCTGGCTCTTGGAGGCCAGCTTTACCATGGAGGAGAGAGCATGTTGCATTTTTGGCTGTGTATGTACACTCTCAAAACAGTCCACTGTGTTAGTTCAGGTCCTCTGAGAAATAGACATCATGATTGGATTAGCCGTGAAAGCCATTGATTGAGAGAAAGGCCTGTGAAGGGTGGAAGGGAAGGAACAGAGAAGATGGGAAAAGACTTCAGACCGTGATGCGGCCGGACACCTGGGAAGGAGATGGAAAACAGAGAAGGGCTGGGTGTGAAGAGCCTCAGACGGCAACATGTTCTAAGAAAGACTAGGCCAGGCTGACGGAGGGAGTGCTCGACCCAGAGCTGCCCATCAAAGGAGTCCTGCGTCTCACAGGAAAGGGTCTGTGTTAAACCCACACCGTGTCCAGTCACTGGGACCAGCCCATCCGGAAGCATAGCTTTCACTCGAACATGGTGGTGGACCCGCAGGGGCAGGAGCTGGCTGGGGTCTTTGTCAGCTCTGGTCTCTGTGCTGTGATGTCTGAGGGGCCCGCTCTTGCGGCCATCACACCCTGTCCACTCTCTCCCTGCAGCTTCTCAACTGCCCCCACCCCACCGTCTTCCACCTCAGAGGATCGTAAGACTTTCAGAACAGAAATGGTGGCTTTTAGCTGGAAGGAAGTCGGGGAGCATCTGCAAAAAGAAATCATCTCCAGGTCTTCAGCTGTGGTCCAGCTGGTTACCTGATTTTTACCAGATCAGCGCTTGGCATCTTAGGGGCTGAGGGCCAAAGCCAGCCTGCTGCCTGTTTCTGTAAACAAGGTTTTATTGGAACAGAGCCACACTGACTCATTTTCCACATTGTCTCTGCTACTTTTGTGCTGAGCTGAGTAGTTCTGACAAATAACGTATGGACGGTGGAGCTGGAAGTAATTACTCTCTGGCCTTTTATAGAAACGCTTCGCTGATCCCAGTACCAGGCTCTTTTCCCTTCCTGAGCTGGTCCTGCATCATCCAGGGTAGATGACGTAGTTCCCACCTGTCTCCTTTTATTCTCTGTGGGCATTTCCTATTGAACACATGATGGGAGAAGAGACTGAGCAGAATGGAGACGTGGAGGGGTTATAAACATAGTTGCTTATCGGCACATGACTGTTAACTGTCTCACCCTGTCCCGCCACTTACATAACGACTAACGTGTGTTTAGTATTTACCTTATTTTAGAAATGGGTATAAGCACCGAAAATGTGTCAACTTACTTCATCCTTACAGTAATCACCCCAGGGACCAATCTATTATAGAGTCACCCTTCTGCAGATAAAGAACCGAGGCAGAGGAAAGCTAAGTGGCTTATCCAAGGCAGACAACTGATACGTCGGGCACCCAGGATCCAAACACCTGCAGTGGTCAGAGTGCAGGTCCTGTTCTTAAGCATCACACAGAACTGCCTTCCTGCAGTCTACCTTATCTTATCCAAACCTCGCAACTATTCTAAAAGAAAGGCTTTATGATCCCCATTTTACAGGTGAGGACAGAAATTGAGTAATGTAATCACCTCAAGTCACTTTGCTGGCAAGTGGCAGAGCCAAGATTAAAATCCAGAACTCTCAAAGGCAATATTTATAACCACTGCACTGGAGTTTCTCAACCTTGGTACCACTGACATCTTGGACTGGATAACTTCACGTTGTGGGAGGCAGTCCTGTGCACTGTAGGGTGTTTAGCAGCATCCCCCTACCCACCAGATGCTAGTAGCACCCTCCCCAACTCATGATCATGAAAATACCTCCAGACGTGGTCAAATCCCCACCGAGGGGTAATGTCAGCCCTCTTTGGGAACCACAGCTCTCTGCTTTGCCCCAGGGCACCACCTCAGGGGTGTAACAGCCTCAATCCTCCCAGGTCTATTAGTGGACCTCGACTGACAGATGATTGCTTTCCTCTTTTTGTTTTGAAGGACTATTTATTCTGCTGTTGGCATTGACCTGGCATCCTACGGGTTTATAGTCGCTGCTGTAGAACACAGGTATGTCTTCTGCTATGTGGCTGAGTCCTGCTTTTCATAGAAGTTTGTGGAAAATGTTGGTAGGATTGTCAACGATGGTTACATGATGAGAAAAAAAAGGAGACTGAGTTAGGTTGTTAAGTATTTAAAAAAACAGCTAACGTTCCCGGAGTGTTTACTGAGTGCCATCTGTTCATACACCATCTCTTCTCATCTTCATCACAACCCTTGAAGATGGTCACCATTATCATTGTTTCAAGGAGGCAGAAAATGAGGCTAAGGAAGGGCAAGTAACTTGCACGAAGCCACACAGAGAGTAAATGGCAGTGCTGGGATTTGATTCCAGGAGTGGGATTTCAACACCACAACCTCCCAGTATTGTGAGGATGGAGTGGATTGTTACAGGTGACAATGTCTTTTCTTAGAACTCCCTTGGGCCTCTTTGATTAAAAAAAATGTGGACTAGAAGAAGAAAGGGAAGTCAGAAAGATTCAAGGATGGGGACAAGGAACACGGGTGAGATGGAGAGAAAGAGCAAGTATAAGTGACGGATTCTGTTTGCATCGTAGAGACGAATCTGCATCTGCGACTTACTACTTCAGGGACCAAACTGCTGCAGAAACAGGGAACAAGACTTGGCTCTATATCAGAACCCTAAAACAAGGGGACGAGGAGTTTCCTCTACGAAATGGGCAGGTGGGTTGCAGCAAGAGGAGAGGTGGCGCCATGCCACCTGCCTGCACCACGAGGCCACCTCTCCGCACCACGATGCCATTTGTTAATTCCATTTTACATATGGTGGACTGTGCCCCTAGGCCCCCTTACTTCCCGTGCCCAGGAGGTCTGTCAAGATTCTCAGAATAATAAAATCCCCTTAATGAAATATCTAGATCATAGTAAAAACAAAGACCAACATCAAAATCCTAGAAGATGACAGTGAATATTCAGAATTCTTTTGCATTAGAACTAAAGACTTCTTTTCAAAGAGGTGGTATGGAATAGTATTAAGAATCCAGGCCTTAGAATCCAGCTCTACATTTGAATTCTGGTGCCAACACTTTGCAGTGGGATAGTCTTGGACAAATTACTTACTCTTTTTCTTTTGCTTCCATGTTTCATTTGTTACAAAATAATAATAACAGTATCTTTCTCCCAGGGCTTTAAGGAAGATTAAATGAAATAAAGCACATTGTTTTCCACCTCTGTGCTGAGTTACATAGTGGGTGCTTTTGACATAGGTTATTGCATTTAATGATACCCACATTTCACTGAGGTAGGCATTATTATACAATGAATGGAAGCTCAGAGAGCTTAAGTAGATCATCAGAGGTCACACAGTGGGTAGGCAACAGAGCCAGGATTTGGACTAAGCTCTAACTACTTGCAAAGCTGGTGCCCAGGTCATTATGCTAGGTTGGGTTCTAATCACTGATCGCAAAGTCCTTTCCCAAACATTTTCCCCATCTGCAACCTCTTAACACAAACTCAAGTAAGTGTTACAACTTTTTACTGTGTCATTTCCTTCTTTGAATCATCACATTAGGTGCGGCAAAGAGCAAAGGAGTGTTCTCAAGCTCTCGATTGGATTCTGGACCTTGATCAGGGAAAGCCAGCGAAGAATGTGTTAGATTTAGAGTTTGGTGTGGAACAGCTGAAGGTGAGTTTTAAAAAAAAGCCATTTTCCCCCGGCCTGTACTTCTTAATTGTTCTTTATTGTCTGTTTCACTGCTATAATACAAGGTACAACATTCTAAAGGGCTGCAAAAAATTTAAAAAATTTTTTAAAGTACCAGAATGTGTTCGAGCAGTGAGGCATGCATTAGGTTGAACTACATAAGAAATTGCCGACAGCCAGCTTTGACCTACAAAAATGGCCTTTTTCATATGGTTCAACTTAACATCGCTGGTGGAAGTATTGTGCTTTCTTGGGTGGCTCCTGCATGTTTTTGAGCTTGATCTTGAAACACTGGTCCAAAGTTTTGGACAGAATGTTGGGAGGAGGGTGGAAGGGTATCAGAACCGACAGCATGAAAAAAGACTCAAAAGTGTGTGTGGAGGATGGGGTACAGGGGAGAGGAAGAACTAAGGTGATGGTCTGTTCTCCAGACTCACGGAAGCAGTTGCACCCCTCAACTAGCCACTCTCCTGTGTCTATGCCTTTGTACGTGTGGTCCCCTTGACCTGACACCCCGTTCCCGTGACTCAGTCCTGCTTAATCTGGCATCACCTCCTCCATGAAGCTTTTTGGGGCCCGCTACCCATCCTAGACTGGGCTCGCTGTCATGTGTGCTTCTTGGCACCAGTGCCTCCATCTGCATCATGTGTCTGAACGTCCTTCTTCCCTAATAGACTGTGAGCTCATGGAAAATGAACTACAGGGCCTGGCACAGAGCAGGCGCTCAATAAATAAATCAGGGGATGAACAAATTAATACATGTGGAGTAGGGAAGAGGGAGAAATCAGCAGGGATGTCGATGCTTCAAGTGTGGGTGATGAGGAAGACCACCAAGTTCACTTCTGAACTGTTATGAACATCTGTGTGTGTGTGCACATATATGTTTGTATACATTTGTATGTGTGTATATTTAAATGTGTGTATGTGTACATGTGAGTGTATACATTTCTAAAGAAAATCAAAGTACTTAACCATGCTGTGAAATAATAATTTTATGATTCATAAAATCATTGCCAATTCTTTGAACAACCTGTAAGATAGTGATGAATTTACATCGTGTTTTTTCACATAGGACACTATCGATAAGGATAAAATAGCAGTTATGGGACATTCTTTTGGTGGAGCCACGGTTGTTCAAACTCTGAGTGAAGACCAGAGATTCAGGTAAGAGAATGAGGCTGAGCAAGAGGACTCTGAGTTATCGGAAGTGGCGGCGGTGGTGGTGGGGTGATCACACACGTGAGAGAGAATTTATCACATTCTTAGTGAGGGAGAGGTCTTTTGGAGTTTACACGTCTGTTCTTTTGCCTCCATAAAGTCCTCTATATGAATTGTCCTAAATAGAAACCATCTGCTCTTGCTACTGAGAACTCTTCCCATCCCTATCTGTTTCTTCTCCTTATTTTTTAACCTGCCTACGGGCTTAACATTTTCATTTGGAAGTTTATGTCTACGTATATATTTTATCTGTGATATGACTGTAAAATAAGATTGTCGTCTTACACTATTTCTTGACTTTCCAGATAGCCAGGGAATTGTTAAGTAATTTTTTTTTTCATTTTTAAGATGGAGCCTGGGCTAAAATTACATAGTTATTTGGGTGGAAGTCTGGACCCTAGTCTTCTAAGTTGAAGAAAAATTTTCTTTCTTGAACCACTTCCTCCCAGACTGATGAGGTCAAGTCGAGCCAACCACATAGAATGTGGGTGGGATCATTCGTGAAACTTCATCTCACGTTTCTTAAAATCTGTTTCAGATAAGGGGATTTTCTTCTTTCATTCTTTTAGCACATAGAATGGAGTATCTGAAAGGCCAAGAAACATAGGATAAATTGCTTTTAAAAAGAAAGTTGGTTACATTGTCAAAGGATCTGCTCCATATGCTTTTCTACAACCCCCAGACACTCTTCCAGGTGAAACACCTCTAAACATAAAGAAATGGGTCCAATTATTACTCTGAAAAAGGTGTAATGAACACACGACAGTGGCCAGAAGGACTAGAAACACAGGGGCAATAGTGCATGTACTGTATTTTTTCCGAAGCCCCACAATTTTGAAGAATTAATTGTTTAAATATTTACCTTGAAAGATAAAAAATGAATAATAAAGATTTATAAATATTATGTTTTTCCAAAGGTTGCAATTCTTAAATGCCTCCTAAAGAAAATGACTATATAATTCCAAGTTTGCTACCTTATAAAGCTAATCACATCCCCTTCTCACACTGAAGTATGATACCTCTGCAGTGCCATGAGATAACCCATAGTGAACTGCTGTGGTGTGTGTCTATGAATTGCAGCATTATTAGAAATTCCTGTATGCGGGCCAGAGTGTAACCAGCCTTCTTTGATCACTGTCGACCAACATCTGCAGGTGTGGTATTGCCCTGGATGCCTGGATGCTTCCAGTGGGTGAGGAAGTTTGTTCCAGGATTCCTCAGCCCCTCTTTTTTATCAACTCGGAACGGTTCCAATATCCTTCTAATATCAAAAAAATGAAAAAATGCTACTTGCCTGATAGAGAAAGAAAAATGATTACAATCAGGTAAGTATTATTAGTAAGTGACATTGCATCATCTGAAACAGAAGCTTGGTTAAACGATCAACAGATATCATTTGGTAAATTACAGAATTCTTCAATTTGTTATTTAGGCTTTGAATAAGGGAGAGTATTAGATAATCTCAGTTTCCAAGTGCGTTTGCAGTTTTTAAAAAAATTGAACTATAGTCAATTTACAATGTTGTGTTAATTTCTGGTGTACAGCATAGTGATTCATTTGTATATATGTATTTCTTTTCTTTTTTTTTATTATAGGCCATTACAAGGTATTGAGTATAGTTCCCTGTGCTATAAAGTAGGACCTTGCTGTTTATCTGTTTTATACATAGCAGTTAGTGTCTACAAATCCTGAACTCCCAATTTATCCCTCCCCACCTCTTTTCCCCCAATAACCATATTTGTTTTCTGTGTCTGTGAGTCTGTCTCTGTTTTGTACATAAGTTTATTTGGGTCCTTTTTTTTCAAGATTCCACAAGGAAGTCATATCATATGATATTTTTCTTTCTCTTTCTTAGACTGACTTAATGATGGAATACTTCCCTCTACCCTAGCCCTAAAAACATGTAGGCTCGCTTTTATATTTAGATAAAAGTAGGGTGTATACTGATGCAAATTTTAATTACCAGCAATACAGCACATATATTAACACTACTCAAAAGGTTTCATTTTAAAAAGAGTAACTTTTTAAAGTAGATGGACCTGGCGATTGCCATATGAAGCTCTCTCGTGACCCTGCTTCTGGATATCTTCTTTATGCTGTGACTCTCGAGTTTGGGTGGGAACATGGGGAAGAGTGAACGGGAGTCGGGGGCTCTGTTTTGAGTAGAGAGAACTAAAAGAATGATGCTTTGCTTATAAGCAGCAGCGAAGTGAGCAGGAAGACATGTACTGGGTGGGGCTGGAGAGCTGTGTTTTCACCTTGGAATTTCTGGGTAGAGATGTCTGGCCACAAACTGGAGAAGTATAGAATTTGTGTATTACCGATGAAACCTTTGGAGGAGATGAGATCGCAGAGGGAGAAGAGAATTGGTCTAAGAATAGAAATCTCGAGGATGTGAAGAGCAGAGTAGTTGGGGAAGGACGGGGAGGTGGGATGGCAAGGAAACAGAAGAAAAAATGCGAGAGAACCAAATGCCCCAGGGGTCGTAGAAAATGAACACTAAATAATGGCCATTCTATTTGATGCTAGTCTATTGGTGAATTTAAAGTTCAGCAATAAGGGATATTTATAAGGTGCTTAATGGTTTATTTTATTTTTTAAAAACAATCTAATGCATTTGAAATTATACCAAGAATGATAGATTCTATAGAAAAGCAACTGGAATCACTGTATACAAAACATGAACTAAAGGTTGGCATACCACAGGTGAACAATATGGGTTTAATAATAACAGTAATTATAATCATTAATATTTATTGCATGTTTCCTATGAGTCAGACCTTATGCTACAATTTTGTAAGCTGGTGCTTACAGTTTAAGTAATACAAGGCAAAGTTTTGTTTGTCTGTTTTTTGATGTATTTAATCCAAGGCTTAAATGCAAAGTGTTTTGGCTAACAGCACATAGATATAAGTTAAGTGTGATGGAAAGGAAGCAGAATTCTGGCTGAGTTTATAGCCCCTTCAACACAAAACACATTCCATCTTCTCAAATTGGAAGTAATCTAGTCCTCTAAAAAGCTGGCATCGTCTCTTCTAAAACTAAGACGCCGAGTAAGACAGGAATCTTTGCATTATTTATTTAGAGGGGAAGATGAATATATACTGTAGGACCCCTCAATGAGCAGCCTGTGACCCGCAAGTACATCTCAGGAGAACAGTTCTATAAGCTTTGTTTCCTTGGTTTTTGGGAAATAGGCCAACCAGGCCAGCATCTGCACCCTAACTACAGAAATAACTCTGTCAAAGTGATTTGCAAATGTCTCCTTTCTCTTTCAGGGGTTCAGTCCATCAGAATTTTGCTGACTTCACTTTTGCCACGGGCAAAATCATTGGATGCATGTTCACACTAAAAGGAGACATAGATTCAAATGTAGCTATTGGTCTCAGCAACAAAGCTTCGTTAGCATTCTTGCAAAAGCACTTAGGTAAGAAACTCATATTCTTTAGGTAAGAACTAGTATTCATAAACCAGATGATGCTGAGGACAAAACTGTCTGTCTTAACTCAGCATTAGTCCCATTTTAACTGTTTCCAGTTGGTTTACAACTGAACGTAGCAGTACATCAGTTTGAAAACAAAAACTTGAGACATTTAATTTTGCTTACTCTACATCATAGGCAGCAAGCCTGTGTGCTAAAGCTGATCGTCTCCCTGTGGAGACTGGGGTGGACTTCCATGCTGACGTTAAACACAGCACAGTGTCCCAGTCCCATCTTTCATTCAGATGTGGCTGCCACCTGGCAGCTCAAGGCACACCTCGTCCCGAGTCAGGAAGCAGTCTGTGTAATTTGTGAGGCGAGGGTGCCACCTAGAGGCACTCAGCTGTTTAACGCTCTCGAAAGCTTACTATGTTTATTAACATTTATATTTTACAGGACTTCAGAAAGATTTTAATCAGTGGGATTCTTTCATTGAAGGGGAAGATGCTAATCTTATTCCTGGGACCAACATTGACACAACCAACCAACATGCCACTCTGCAGAACTCTACAGGAACAGAGAAATAGGATTTAGATTAAAAGAGCTTTTAAAAAGTCTGATTTAAAAACTGTCTAAAAGAGCGTGTGTGTGTGTGATTATAATGTATTTTCTCAAATAACTCGTATTTCAAAATGTAGGTTATACCACAATAGTGATTAAAGCTTGGA